ATGAACTGTCAGCAGTTACTTATGTGTGTTACTTCCGCTCCCCCTGGACACCTCTCTCTTCCTTTCCAAGAGCTGCAGCATTCCAGCAACCCAGCTTCAATCACACAGCTGTGGGCTGCGCCCCAGCAGAAGGGGGAGGAATAGTAACTTCAGCGCACACAGCCACCCACCAGCCTTGACCAGCTGGACCCTCATGTGGGAGCCAATGCATTTTGGCCTCTTTATCACAACAGGTACATACCAAGACATTTACAAAGGCCATCTCTAGGAAGGCAAGCCACTTCACTCCCGCTGTCCAAGCTGTAGAAAGTCACCCCATGTCCAGGAGGGCTAAGTTCCAAAAGAGAGTGGCCATGCGTCCAAGCCATGCCTCCCATTTGGGAAAAGAGCATCTGTGCCACTCGGGTCCTGGAGATTCCAATGGCTATCTCAATCTGCACCCAGAGCACAGACCTCTACTCACTTGATGAACCCAGGACTACCAGAAGCTAGAGTTTCTCCACTTCTTCTATTCCCATTCTCTGTTTCTCTACTTAGGTTGAAGAGATAGGAGGAAGGAGTGGGGGGCGATCGGGTGGGGAGAACTGAGATCCACTTAGGAGCTCCCTGATAATGGAAATGAACTGGAATGTACCACCTTCAGGAAGGACACCCATGTCAGGTGCGGTTATGGTGGGATGTCAGTATGATCTCACAGGTATTCCCATAATTAGCAGAAATGACTCCGAATCATCAAAATATGCTCAGTATGCTATCGACATGCAAAAACAAACAAACAACCAACAACAAAACCCACACATCTGACCATGCCAGGCTAGAAGCAGAGACACCCGGAATCACCTGAATTACATGACAGGCATCTTGGTAGAAATCCAAGGGAAGTTTCATACATTTCATTCAATAATTGAGCACCAACTATGTGCCAGACACTGTGCTAAGTTCTGAGAAGAGCAAACAAACAAAACAGAATTCTTCCCTTAGAGCAGCGGTTCTCAACCTGTGGGTCGCCACCCCTTTGGGGGTCGAACGACCCTTTCACAGGGGTCGCCTAAGACCATCGGAAAACACATATATAATTACATATTGTTTTTGTGATTAATCACTATGCTTTAATTATGTTCAATTTGTAACAATGAAAATACATCCTGCATATCAGATATTTACATTATGATTCATAACAGTAGCAACATTACAGTTATGAAGTGGCAACGAAAATAATTTTATGCTTGGGGGTCACCACAACATGAGGAACTGTATTAAAGGGTCGAGGCATTAGGAAGGTTGAGAACCACTGCCTTAGAGGAACTCCTCACTAGCAGGGGCATCTGGCAACGGTACAACTAATCCTAGGATGATTTTCAGGTGATTCTAATCCACTGTGCTGGGACGATACTGAGCAGGGTTGACTCTGAAGATAGGACCTGTGAGCTTGAGGGACAGAACTTACAGGAAGAAACCTGGGCGAAGGCAAGGAGCGAGTGGAGTGGGGCTGAGAAGAGGAGGTAGGCAAATCTAGTGGCCTGAATGCTTTCTCCCCGAGGAAACCTGACCTGGACCCAGCGAGCTCTGGTCCATAGACCAACAGAGCAGAGAGATCAGAACATGGGCTCTGGAGTCAACCACTCTTCAGACTGAGTCCCCGTCTGCCACTCAGTAGGAGCCTGGGCCCTGGAACCACCCAAGGTCGGGTCCTGCCTCCATCACTTCCCAGCGGTAGCACCCTGGGCAGTTATCTAACCTCCCTGCACTCAGTGTTCTCATCTGCAGAATGGAAAAAACAACAGCGCCTCCCTCACAGGGGGGTTGTGGAAATTGGCTGATACCCAAAACAGAGGGCACAGCACCTGGCACAGAGCAGTCTCTGACATCATTCCTAGAAACCTCACCCAGTCTCATTTCCTTTGTCTGTAAATTAGGGTTTGGGAGGATTAACGACACAGTAAAGCCCTAACACGAGGTCCTCCATAAATGAATGATGCTGGCTTCTGATTCCCAGGAAACCACGCTAACGTTACCAGGCCAGGGGAAGAGCTCCCGGCCACGGCTGGAAGGGTTAGATGTGGATGTTCAGTGACTTTCCGGGCTCTGGCTGAAAGCCCTGGTTGAGTCTGACCTCAGGAGACCATGCAAAAGTCTAGGTGACCTATGAACCTGTGCAGGTCAACTCCGCCGCCTACCACTATGCAGGCCGCCCAGGGGAGGGGTGTGGGTGGAGCGTGTGCCCATCCAAGGGGCAGCTGCGCTCGGCTCCAGCCTGGTCTCGCCCTGGGAGAATGAGGGGACAGCTCTTCCCTTCTTTCCAAGAAGATGGAAAGCCAGATTGTTAAGTATTCCTGATTTGGAAATGCCGGCAACTGATTCGAAAGCATTGGAAACACTGAACTGACTCAGCACAGCCTGCCCCGGGGCCTGCAGGCCAGAGGTTCACGCCTTCTGATTTAGAGGCTTTGTACACTAACGTCCCTCCAATCCTTGTTGGCAATCTCCCCTGAAAAATTCTCAAGGACCCGATGAAGAAAGGAAAAGCCAAATATTCTGACACAGAGCTCGGCCAAGAGCCTCTTGAACTCGTGAGAGAACTGGCCCATCTTTGGGCATTTCTGTGAACTAGAGGGGCAATTTCCTGCCATTATAAGTCACTTCTAGTGGTTCCCCCACCAAACACTTACCTTCCACGCTAACATTTCCATCAGGCTCACTGTGTGCCAGTTCTGTTTTAAGCACTTAACATATACTATCTCATGTAATCCTCACGACAGTCCAATGAGAGCCTGATAGGTGGGGAAACTGAGGCACAGAGGCGTTAAGAACGTGTACAAGGTCACACAGCCAGTACAGCGTGGGAGTTGGGCCCAAGCAGGTGGTTCAGCAGCCTCTCACCTGGCCAACCCAGGCTCTCGAGGCCTGGGGCCTCCACGGCTGCAGCCACTCCCTCTAGGCACAGGTGACCCTTCCCTGTCCCTGTACACCTGTGACTCCACATGTGCCTACCAAGTCAGAAACTAGCCAGGGCCGGGTCTCCCCCGAGCTAGCCAGTGGGTCCCAGGAGCCAGGTCCTCATCCAGGGCTGGGGACCCACTGCTAACTACATATCACCAGGCCAGACTCAGGGACCAAGTCTCCTGTCCTCCTTGCTCCCTTTGCATGGCAGCCACAAGACTAAGCTGGCAGTGCCACCTGTAGACAGTCTGCTACCACCAGGCCATCTCAGAGCCAACACTAAGACCTGAGCTCTTGCTGCTAAGCAGCCCTAGAGCCATCCCCCAACCCCAACTAGCAAACCAACTTCTGGCTACGCTGCACCGGGCCCCACGTCAATCAGGCAGCTGGAAACTGCCAGAGGAAGCTTTGCAGAATATCATTCTTGGCCTGAAATAATACACACACACACACACACACACACACACACACACACACCCCTCCCATAAGCCAAGGCACGTGCAGCGGCTCAGTGAGCATCCGAGAGAGAGGAGGGCAGCTATGTGGCACAGACCCCAGCACACCCCATGACTCAGACGGATGCAGACACAGGCCGGGCGCTCTCAGGACCCCCCGAGGCAGCCTGAAAGGACTGTGCCCAGTAAACGGCCAGCATGCCCTGTCAAGAGTGACAGCATCTTTCCTGGCCCATGGGGGCGTTTAGAGGATTAATTAGGCGAACCTGGCAGTATTCGCGTTCCCCGGGGAACTTGGGGAATGTGTCACCCCCGTCACAAAGCTCTTAGTGTGTCTGGAGCTGGGTCTTTGTTCAGCATTGCACGGGACACCAGGTCAGACGGCTGGCAGCACACAAGAGGCTAGCGCACTGCTGGTCGGAGGGTCGCCCACCCAGGGCCAGGCCTCCGGGCCAGCCACCGTCAGTCACGATGCAGTGTGAACAGTGGGTGGCTGTGTCAGACGGTCCACTTCTCACCGTGGCCGTCAGAAGTCCAGAGCGTCTCTCCTCCGGCAGGAGGCCTCCGGGCCCCGCTGGCCTGCAGTGACCGCTCCTGCCTCTGAAAAGCTGTCACCTGTGCCCAGCTTCCACCACTTGCTGCCTTGTTTGGGGCTGACATTTTAAAATGTCATTTAGCAGCATTTAGTGCGTGCCAGGTACTGCGTTAGTGCTTCACATACAATATGTGATGCAATCTTCACAAGTCTATGACGTGGACGTGATTATACCCATTTCACAGATGAGGAAGTGGCCACGTGAAAAAGTCAAACAACGGGTGTCCTCCCTCTGTCATCTCTTCCCATGAGACTACATCCTCTCACACTGATTACAAACTCCTTCCCGGCAACCAGGGTGACACTGACCCCGCCTTCTAGCCCCCGAGCCCCAGGGCGCACAGGTAAACACGGGATGACGGACGGTTACAGTCACTGCCACTTGGATCGGCCACTGAGCCCTTAATTATCACACAGGTGGCATTCCTGAATGAAAATGTGGTCAGCCATGTGGCCAACCGGCCATAGAATAAGAATCCCTATCAATGTTCTGCAGCATCTTAATGACCAAGAAAAGTCCCTGCGCACGTTGCATATTAATTATCAGACAACTTGGCTGAGATGTTGTTCTCTCCTTTCCTCAGTGACAACTGAAGACCTAGGCTCTGAGGAAACCGCGTGTTGCGGGGCCGCACATCACCCAGTGCCAATGTGGTCAGCCATGTGGCCAACCGGCCATAGAATAAGAATCCCTATCAATGTTCTGCAGCATCTTAATGACCAAGAAAAGTCCCTGCGCACGTTGCATATTAATTATCAGACAACTTGGCTGAGATGTTGTTCTCTCCTTTCCTCAGTGACAACTGAAGACCTAGGCTCTGAGGAAACCGCGTGTTGCGGGGCCGCACATCACCCAGTGCCAGCCGTGGGCCCAGCCCGGCGCCCTGCTGGGAGCCCAGCACCAGCCAAGGGCCCCGGGGTCAAACCGCAGGCTCCAGGGAGGCTCTGCTGGCTCCAAACGGCACGGCCCTGGGGGACACCCTCCCAGGGACAGATGGCGCAGGCCTCACCTTTGGTCGCGTAGGCTTCCGCCAGCACCCGCAACCGGTAGGGCGGGACGGCTGTCAGCGGCAAGTCATCGAGGCCCACCCGCGCGTAGATGTTGAGAGCTTCCTTATAATCTCCTTCCACGTAGTTCAGCTTGGCCATGATCAGATTGGATTCTTGTAGCAGCTCTGACTAGAAGGAAAAGGAGAGAAAACGCATTTTCCTACTATAATCGGAGGGATGCTGCCTGGGGACCCATCTGCTACCGCAAAGCTGGGGCTCTCCACGCAGAAACGGGGTGCAGCGGTCACAGCAAGATGGCCCACGGCAGCCCAAAGTGGAAACAACCCAAACGTTCATCGGCTGAGGGTGGATAAGCGAAATGTGGTGGAGCCGCACGTGGAATAGTACTCAGCCATGAGGAGGAAGGAATAACGACACAGCTACAGCACGGACAAACTCAAACCAGTATGCCAAGGAAAAAGCCAGCCGTGAGAGGCTCCTCCCGGGGGCATCTGAAATGGCCAGAAGGGTCGAAGCTACAGGCAGAATGTAGGCCAGTGTTCGCCTAGGGCTGGGACGGTGGGAATGGGAGGAACCGGTTAACAGTGAGGGGTATATTGTGGGGTGATGAAAATGTTCCGAAATTCGGGTACAGGTTGCACAGCTCTGTGAATAGTCCCGAACCCCTGAACTGCACACTTTAAATGGGTAGATGATATGGTGTGTGAATTATATTTCAATGAAGCTGCTGCAAAACGCAACAGAAACCCTGAGGTTCCCCTAAGGCAGCTGAGCTGGACTGGGGCAAAAACAGAAGGACTACTTTACGAACAAAACACAGAAGCACCCGTCTCAAAAAAGGAAGCTCCACGGGCTTCCCGGGGGTCTGCCCCCTGCACTGGGCAGGACCTAAATAACCGGAGGAGAGAGGCTTTCTAAACCGGTGCAAAAATCAGCACCTGCTCTCTTTCCGAGGGCGACTTTCCTCACGGAGCCATTCCATCCTGCTGCGGTCACTGTCCCCTGATGGGCTCTCCTTCCCATCCAGGCAGGGAGGCCAGCTTCCCCAGGCCACGCCCACCGGCTCAGACTCCTGGCTCCCCTGCCCCCTCACAGCAGAGAAAGAAGAGGCTCCCAGCATCTATATAAGGAGACAGATTTATCTCCCAGGCCTTCCCTCGGAAGCTAAGCTATACAAGGCTGGCTTTTTCCGCTTCCAGAAGCACGAATTCTGTCATTTAAAGCTGTGACAGGGTCGACGGCTCAAGGAACCAGCCAGAGCATGGCGAAGCAGCTGTGTCAGCCTTCTGGGAAGGGAGCAGAGACAACAGGCAGCACTGGAGAGGATGGTGGGAGGGGCAGGGCGAGGGAAGGTGAGGTGAAAGGGGATCCAAAGGAAGCAGAGAGGGAAGGCTGGTGAGGGAAGCAGAGAGCTGAGTCTAAACAGAACGGAGAACTGGCAGATGAATACATAGAAGGGTGGTGCGCAAGGCTTCCTTGGTGGGGGGTGGGGGGGGTGGTGTTGTCTAGGGTCCAGGCTCGGCGAGGGAAGTTGGGGCCTGGTTCCCTCCCGCACCGTGGTACTGGGCCCGCTGTCCCTAGTAGGAAACCCCACACAGCTCTGGGCCACAGCGGCCTGAGGCGTTCATGGACCACGTATTTCAGGCAGGAAATGGGGTAGTAAGTGGCACTCCTGATGAACCTGTTTCCTACAGTGGAGCAGGGTGTCAGGTTGAGCCCTGGGTCCCATATGACAGCTCACTCCAAGTACCTGGGGAAGATCAGCGCCATTTTCCACAATCGGATCTCACTGAAGGCTCTCATCAGAGACTCCGGAAGCCCCCCAAGGGGTCGCCAGCGGGGGGCTGGCCCATGGATCACACAGGAGCCGGCAGGGAGATGCTCCAACCCCGCCCCCCAACCACACAGCTCAGAGCAGGTGGCGCCAGCACCTCCCCGTGGCCTCCCCTCGTCCCAGAGGCCCAGGGTACCTTGAGGTTCCCTCGGTCCAGGGCGGCGGTCAGGTGCTTGCGGACCTCGGTCAGCTGGGGCCAGGGGCCTCGGGGGCTGGCCCCCTGCCGCAGGGAGTGCTCCTTCAGGTACTGCTCCAGCTTCGACTCCCCGAGGAGGAGTTCTGCCATGTCATCTGTCAAGGACGAAGGGAGAGGCTAGGTGGGCGAGGAGTGGTCTCTGTGCTGGGAACCCCCCCAGGGCCTCAGGGCCCCCCCCCTTGCTCCACGCCCCCAAGAGGCCCACCTGGAACCTCATAACCTCCAGTGGGGCCCAAGTAGGCACCATCTTAGGGTGCAGTCCAGTCGGCAGTAAAGAATGTTCCAGTGTACGCACTCAAACGGGGGTGGGGGGGGCGGGGAGAGACGGACTCAAGCTCTGTCCTCTTTTGTCACGAAATTACGGAATCTAGAAAGACGGATACAGTAACACGGAGAGAGCTCCAGTTCAGTAGAAAGACATAAAGCTGCCTTGTGATTCATTCAGTCTGATCTTTACAAAACACACACAGGACCCAACCCATGTCTTTCCTGAGAGCCATGCAGTGGAACCTCCCGGCCCGCCGTGTTCTGTGGCCTTGGTACACGGATACGAGCCAGGAGAATGTCTGCACAGTCAGACTCTTCAAACGAGCTTGTGCCCAAACAACCTGAATGCAGGCAGTCTGTTTTTGTCCAAAAGTCAAAACTATACAAACAGCCCGGCTGGTGTTGCTCAGGGGTTGAGCTTCGAACTATGAACCAGGAGGTCATGGTTTGATTCCCAGTCAGGGCACATGTCCAGGTGGCGAGCTTGATCCCCAGTGTGGGGCGTGCAGGAGGCAGCCGATCAATGATTCTCTCTCATCATTGACGTCTTTGTCTCTCCCTCTCCCTTCCTCTCTGAAATCAATAAAAATATGTTTTAAAGAACTATACAGACACTGATATCAGTACGAAGGCTTTATCCCTAAGAGTGCAATACTTATAGCAGTGACTTTGTTATTGTCGGTGCTGGCTGGTTAATAGAATAAAAAGCTCACTCCAGCGGCGGCTCTTTGGATCCACACATCCAAGTTGTTCTGAACAAAACCAAACAACCTATACACCAGCCCGAGCACGGTCTACTTCCTCTGTGGTGGGACAGAACCTCACTGTGTCCAAATAAAAAAGCAGCTTTAAAAAGTCTGGAGGGATGTACCTCAAACCCATGCTAATAGTTACCACTGGGGTGCAGGAAAAAGAACCCCAACTGGGGTTAGTGGCCAGAAGGGACCTTGGCTTGATCCTGAGCTGCCGGTCCTAGAGGAACAACCACAGGTAGGTCTAGTATTGGTGCAACCCAAAGTTCACTGAGACTCAAAGGCCGAGAGCTGGACCGAGAGCCTTTCCAAGCCCCTTGCTCAGTGACCCAAAGCTGCCAGGCCTCCCGTTCCCAGCAGCGCCTCCGTCTGTGTTCTGAGCAGCCAACAATAACCTGCCAGAGACATGCCGAGGGCCCCGGGAGGAGCTAAGCAACACCAGAACGGGCAGAGTTAACTCAGAGATCTGAGCTCAAGGGTTCTGTGGTTGTCCAAGAAGAAAAAGGAAATCGCAAGGACATCAGGCAGGACCCACAGCAGGGCCCCCCACCAGCGAACAATAAAGCTACGCCTGCCGAGGGCGCAGGGGCGCCAGTGTAACCCAGTGGATGGACCAGTCAGGGACGAAGGTAACAAGCAGCTTCCTCCCAGAACGGAAATCCAGCTAATAAAGAAACCCAGGGCTCGGGGTGAAGGGTGTGTAGGCAAAGGCCTGCTGGTGGGTGTCAGGGCATTCGCATGCACAGTCTTAAAGGCTTACAAGGAGCACTGCTACAACGGAATCTGACCAATACAACGCACATGTGACAGATGTATGTTTCAGGGTGGAAAATGTGGGGAAAGGCATTCCAGGCAGAAGGAACAGAATGTGCAAAGGCATGGCACAGCCTGGTTGTTTGGGAACTCCTAAGTGATTTGTTAGAGCTGAACCATGAAGGGCAGGGAGAGGAAGAGGGGAATGGTCCTGGGAGCTTCCTGCCAGGTGGGCGAGGATCAGTTCCTTAGTTCTGGAAGGAGCCGCACGCTCCGGGCGAAGAGCTTACAATCTAAATTGAAATTCAGCATGACCGCTACAAAACCATTTTTGAACTTTTTTAAATTTCCAGGCTCCAATTAATCTCTCAAGCAAATTGTTTTCCTTATTCCCCTGCAAAAAGGTGATTTCCCTGCCATTCACTCTCCCGACCAGGAGGTAGAGATCTTAACCACAGCAAGGAGCTCTCATGCCAGAGCAATTACACCGAGGCTGCGAGGCTCCGTGCTAACGGTGAAGGCGGCTGGGCGGCCTGACCACGGGCACTGGCTGCACCTGCCAAGGACCTCACGGCAGAATCCACCGGCAACAGAAGAAAGGGCACCACCTAGCCGGCTGTTCATGCCCAATAGAGTGCCCAGCTACGTGCTGGGACAGTGGGACACAAGGGGAAAAGACCCCTCCGGGCATACAAGAAGGTTCATTTCAGATTAAAGAGTTAAATACAAAATAAAAGGGCATCAAAATGGTAAGAATAGACTTTCGCTTCCAGCCAAGACAGACCAAATTTAACCTCCCATCGGAAACCCACAAAAACACGACAGAATATATTTTTAAATAAAAACAATTTTCAAGACACTAGACATCAGGCAACAGAGGAGTGATCCCTGAGAACCGGGTAACAAACCAGGTCGGCGCTAGGATTGCCGGGAGAGTTCTGGCGGCAACAGGGGAACGGGGACACTGACAGCAGAATTCTGCCTCATGGAAGACTTCAGTCTCAGTATCTCTTCCCCTACTCCCTGCTCCCACTCCCCAGGCACTGAGGAGGGCACAGCTGGGCATTCCACAGGAGCAGGCAGAGCTGCAGGACTGCAATGCGGGGCCGGGATGTACCTTCCAGATGGAGAAGCTCAGGGGTGCCCAGGGCTGGATTCCCCCACCCCACGACCATTTTGGGGGGTTTAAGTGAGGCAGAGAAACCAGCTCTCCAGTGACTGTTAGCGGGCTAAAGCCTGACATCGAATAGAGACTGCTCCTGAGATTAGCATGGGCCTCAGCCCCCGGGAGGGGCCTCTGGTCCCCTGGTTCATCTCCAAACCGACGATCCCCAATCCAGTAAGCCCGGTGGCTGGCACAGTGCAGCGCCCAGGCGGCCTCGGCCTCCCTCAGACACCCAGGGACGGAGGGGTTGTGACCTTTGCCACTTGAGGTGACTGTCCATTCCTCACAGCCCTCTCCCTTGTGGGATAAGCAGCTGACACAGAGATTTGATCAGATGATGGAGGGGGAAAAAGTTAGGGTTTCTACTCTATTTCAGGGAGTACTTGATATCAATACAAAAAAATCTCCAGGACTCGGTTTGTATGTCAATAGAGAAGCATTGAGGCCTATTCAAACCATTCCTGCTGGGGCTCCGGGCCAAGAGGAAAAAACAAGCCCCTATTCACGCGGGAACTGGTTCTTCAGCGGCCCCTTTGTTACCCAGCAAAGACGGCCCAGTTCTTGGTTCTCGTGTCTCAGTCTCACGGGTGACGCTCAGTGAATTCCATCCC